TCATGATAGTATTATCATGATTATCATTCAGTATTATCATGATTATCATTCAGTATTATCATGATTATCGTTCAGTATTATCATGATTATCGTTCAGTATTATCATGATTATCATTCAGTATTATCATGATTATCATTCAGTATTATTATGATTATCATTCAGTATTATTATGATTATCATTCAGTATTATCATGATTATCATTCAGTATTATCATGATTATCATTCAGTATTATCATGATAGTATTATCATGATTATCATTCAGTATTATCATGATTATCATTCAGTATTATCATGATTATCGTTCAGTATTATCATGATTATCGTTCAGTATTATTATGATTATCATTCAGTATTATCATGATTATCATTCAGTATTATCATGATTATCATTCAGTATTATCATGATTATCATTCAGTATTATCATGATTATCATTCAGTATTATTATGATTATCATTCAGTATTATCATGATTATCATTCGGTATTATCATGATTATCATTCAGTATTATCATGATTATCATTCAGTATTATCATGATTATCATTCAGTATTATCATGATAGTATTATCATGATTATCATTCAGTATTATCATGATTATCATTCAGTATTATCATGATTATCGTTCAGTATTATCATGATTATCGTTCAGTATTATCATGATTATCATTCAGTATTATCATGATTATCATTCAGTATTATTATGATTATCATTCAGTATTATTATGATTATCATTCAGTATTATCATGATTATCATTCAGTATTATCATGATTATCATTCAGTATTATCATGATAGTATTATCATGATTATCATTCAGTATTATCATGATTATCATTCAGTATTATCATGATTATCGTTCAGTATTATCATGATTATCGTTCAGTATTATTATGATTATCATTCAGTATTATCATGATTATCATTCAGTATTATCATGATTATCATTCAGTATTATTATGATTATCATTCAGTATTATTATCATTATCATTCAGTATTATTATGATTATCATTCAGTATTATCATGATTATCATTCAGTATTATCATGATAGTATTATCATGATTATCATTCAGTATTATCATGATTATCATTCAGTATTATCATGATTATCGTTCAGTATTATCATGATTATCGTTCAGTATTATCATGATTATCATTCAGTATTATCATGATTATCATTCAGTATTATCATGATTATCATACAGTATTATCATGATTATCATTCGGTATTATCATGATTATCATTCAGTATTATCATGATAGTATTATCATGATTATCATTCAGTATTATTATGATTATCATTCAGTATTATCATGATTATCATTCGGTATTATCATGATTATCATTCAGTATTATCATGATTATCATTCAGTATTATCATGATTATCATTCAGTATTATCATGATAGTATTATCATGATTATCATTCAGTATTATCATGATTATCATTCAGTATTATCATGATTATCGTTCAGTATTATCATGATTATCGTTCAGTATTATCATGATTATCATTCAGTATTATCATGATTATCATTCAGTATTATTATGAATATCATTCAGTATTATTATGATTATCATTCAGTATTATCATGATTATCATTCAGTATTATCATGATTATCATTCAGTATTATTATCTCCTGCTGCAGAATCATAAACACATGACATTATGTTTATCTAATGACTGTGTTCTGTGATGGCCCTCAATACTGCTGCTGTACCCTGGTCTTACCATGTGTAAACTCTGGTCCATGGTCTCAGTTTCAGTTTAGTTTATTTCAAAGGGGGACAATGCAATTTAATAAAACACATGATAAAACATGAGTTAAAAAAGCCAGAATTAGCCAAGGAGGCTATTTTTCATCTGTAGTCCCCTGGCTGTGATGTTAAAAAGATATTAAAATACATTAACATGACAAAATTACAAGACAGAGATAACATCATTCAAGACTAACATTTCCTACATGTACGTCTGGTCTTACCCTGGTCTGTACATTAGTCTGTACCTTTGTCTGTACATTAGTCTGTACCCTGGTCTGTACATTAGTCTGTACCTTTGTCTGTACATTAGTCTGTACCTTTGTCTGTACATTAGTCTGTACCTTTGTCTGTACATTAGTCTGTACCCTGGTCTGTACATTAGTCTGTACCTTTGTCTGTACATTAGTCTGTACCTTTGTCTGTACATTAGTCTGTACCCTGGTCTGTACATTAGTCTGTACCTTTGTCTGTACATTAGTCTGTACCTTTGTCTGTACATTAGTCTGTACCCTGGTCTGTACATTAGTCTGTACCTTTGTCTGTACATTAGTCTGTACATTAGTCTGTACATTAGTCTGTACCTTTGTCTGTACATTAGTCTGTACCCTGGTCTGTACATTAGCCTGTACCTTTGTCTGTACATTAGTCTGTACCCTGGTCTGTACATTAGTCTGTACCCTGGTCTGTACATTAGTCTGTACCTTGGTCAGTACATTAGTCTGTACCTTTGTCTGTACATTAGTCTGTACCCTGGTCTGTACATTAGTCTGTACCTTTGTCTGTACATTAGTCTGTACCTTGGTCTGTACATTAGTCTGTACCTTTGTCTGTACATTAGTCTGTACCTTTGTCTGTACATTAGTCTGTACCTTTGTCTGTACATTAGTCTGTACCTTTGTCTGTACCCTGGTCTGTACATTAGTCTGTACCTTGGTCTGTACATTAGTCTGTACCTTTGTCTGTACATTAGTCTGTACATTTGTCTGTACCTTGGTCTGTACATTAGTCTGTACCTTTGTCTGTACATTAGTCTGTACCCTGGTCTGTACATTAGTCTGTACCCTGGTCTGTACATTAGTCTGTACCTTTGTCTGTACATTAGTCAGTACCTTTGTCTGTACATTAGTCTGTACCTTTGTCTGTACATTAGTCTGTACCTTGGTCTGTACATTAGTCTGTACCTTTGTCTGTACATTAGTCTGTACCTTTGTCTGTACATTAGTCTGTACCTTGGTCTGTACATTAGTCTGTACCTTTGTCTGTACATTAGTCTGTACCTTTGTCTGTACATTAGTCTGTACCTTGGTCTGTACATTAGTCTGTACCTTGGTCAGTACATTAGTCTGTACCTTTGTCTGTACATTAGTCTGTACCTTGGTCAGTACATTAGTCTGTACCTTGGTCTGTACATTAGCCTGTACCTTGGTCTGTACATTAGCCTGTACCTTTGTCTGTACATTACCCTGTACCTTTGTCTGTACATTAGTCTGTACCTTTGTCTGTACATTAGTCTGTACCTTTGTCTGTACATTAGTCTGTACCTTGGTCAGTACATTAGTCTGTACCTTTGTCTGTACATTAGTCTGTACCTTTGTCTGTACATTAGCCTGTACCTTGGTCTGTAGATTAGCCTGTACCTTTGTCTGTACATTAGTCTGTACCTTGGTCAGTACATTAGTCTGTACCTTGGTCTGTACATTAGTCTGTACCTTTGTCTGTACATTAGTCTGTACCTTGGTCTGTACATTAGTCTGTACCTTTGTCTGTACCTTTGTCTGTACATTAGTCTGTACCTTTGTCTGTACATTAGCCTGTACCCTGGTCTGTACATTAGTCTGTACCTTGGTCTGTACATTAGTCTGTACCTTTGTCTGTACATTAGTCTGTACCTTGGTCTGTACATTAGTCTGTACCTTTGTCTGTACCTTTGTCTGTACATTAGTCTGTACCTTTGTCTGTAGATTAGCCTGTACCTTTGTCTGTACATTAGTCTGTACCTTGGTCAGTACATTAGTCTGTACCTTGGTCTGTACATTAGTCTGTACCTTTGTCTGTACATTAGTCTGTACCTTTGTCTGTACATTAGTCTGTACCTTTGTCTGTACATTAGTCTGTACCTTTGTCTGTACATTAGTCTGTACCTTGGTCTGTACATTAGTCTGTACCTTTGTCTGTACATTAGTCTGTACATTAGTCTGTACCTTGGTCTGTACATTAGTCTGTACCTTTGTCTGTACATTAGTCTGTACCTTTGTCTGTACATTAGTCTGTACCTTTGTCTGTACATTAGTCTGTACCCTGGTCTGTACATTAGTCTGTACCCTGGTCTGTACATTAGTCTGTACCTTGGTCTGTACATTAGCCTGTACCTTGGTCTGTAGATTAGTCTGTACCTTTGTCTGTACATTAGTCTGTACCTTGGTCTGTAGATTAGTCTGTACCTTTGTCTGTACATTAGTCTGTACCTTGGTCTGTACATTAGTCTGTACCTTGGTCTGTACATTAGTCTGTACCTTGGTCAGTACATTAGTCTGTACCTTTGTCTGTACATTAGTCTGTACCTTGGTCTGTACATTAGTCTGTACCTTGGTCTGTAGATTAGTCTGTACCTTTGTCTGTACATTAGTCTGTACCTTGGTCTGTACATTAGTCTGTACCTTTGTCTGTACATTAGTCTGTACCTTGGTCTGTACATTAGTCTGTACCTTGGTCTGTACATTAGTCTGTACCTTTGTCTGTACATTAGTCTGTACCTTTGTCTGTACATTAGTCTGTACCTTTGTCTGTACATTAGTCTGTACCCTGGTCTGTACATTAGCCTGTACCTTGGTCTGTAGATTAGTCTGTACCTTTGTCTGTACATTAGTCTGTACCTTGGTCTGTACATTAGTCTGTACCTTTGTCAGTACATTAGTCTGTACCTTGGTCTGTACATTAGTCTGTACCTTTGTCTGTACATTAGTCTGTACCCTGGTCTGTACATTAGTCTGTACCTTGGTCTGTACATTAGTCTGTACCTTTGTCTGTACATTAGCCTGTACCTTGGTCTGTACATTAGTCTGTACCTTGGTCTGTACATTAGTCTGTACCTTTGTCTGTACCTTTGTCTGTACATTAGTCTGTACCTTGGTCTGTACATTAGTCTGTACCTTTGTCTGTACATTAGTCTGTACCTTTGTCTGTACATTAGTCTGTACCTTTGTCTGTACATTAGTCAGTACCTTGGTCAGTACATTAGTCTGTACCTTCTGTCTGTACCTGTAGTCTGTACCTGTAGTCTGTACCTGTAGTCTGTACCTGTAGTCTGTACCTGTAGTCTGTACCTGTAGTCTGTACCTGTAGTCTGTACCTGTGTCTGACCTGTAGTCTGTACCTGTAGTCTGTACCTGTAGTCTGTACCTGTGGTCTGTACCTGTAGTCTGTACCTGTAGTCTGTACCTGTAGTCTGCACCTGTAGTCTGCACCTGTAGTCTGTACCTGTAGTCTGTACCTGTAGTCTGTACCTGTAGTCTGCACCTGTAGTCTGTACCTGTAGTCTGTACCTGTGGTCTGTACCTGTAGTCTGTACCTGTAGTCTGCACCTGTAGTCTGCACCTGTAGTCTGTACCTGTAGTCTGTACCTGTAGTCTGTACCTGTAGTCTGTACCTGTAGTCTGCACCTGTAGTCTGTACCTGTAGTCTGTACCTGTAGTCTGCACCTGTAGTCTGCACCTGTAGTCTGTACCTGTAGTCTGTACCTGTAGTCTGTACCTGTGGTCTGTACCTGTAGTCTGTACCTGTAGTCTGCACCTGTAGTCTGTACCTGTAGTCTGTACCTGTAGTCTGTACCTGTGGTCTGTACCTGTAGTCTGTACCTGTAGTCTGTACCTGTAGTCTGTACCTGTAGTCTGCACCTGTAGTCTGCACCTGTAGTCTGTACCTGTAGTCTGTACCTGTAGTCTGTACCTGTAGTCTGTACCTGTATTCTGTACCTGTAGTCTGTACCTGTGGTCTGTACCTGTAGTCTGTACCTGTAGTCTGTACCTGTAGTCTGTACCTGTATTCTGTACCTGTAGTCTGTACCTGTAGTCTGTACCTGTAGTCTGCACCTGTAGTCTGTACCTGTAGTCTGTACCTGTAGTCTGCACCTGTAGTCTGTACCTGTAGTCTGCACCTGTGGTCTGCACCTGTAGTCTGCACCTGTAGTCTGTACCTGTAGTCTGTACCTGTAGTCTGTACCTGTAGTCTGTACCTGTAGTCTGTACCTGTATTCTGTACCTGTAGTCTGTACCTGTAGTCTGTACCTGTAGTCTGCACCTGTAGTCTGTACCTGTAGTCTGTACCTGTAGTCTGCACCTGTAGTCTGTACCTGTAGTCTGCACCTGTAGTCTGTACCTGTAGTCTGTACCTGTAGTCTGCACCTGTAGTCTGTACCTGTAGTCTGTACCTGTAGTCTGTACCTGTAGTCTGTACCTGTAGTCTGCACCTGTAGTCTGTACCTGTAGTCTGTACCTGTAGTCTGTACCTGTAGTCTGTACCTGTAGTCTGTACCTGTAGTCTGCACCTGTAGTCTGCACCTGTAGTCTGTACCTGTAGTCTGTACCTGTAGTCTGTACCTGTGGTCTGTACCTGTAGTCTGTACCTGTAGTCTGCACCTGTAGTCTGTACCTGTAGTCTGTACCTGTAGTCTGTACCTGTAGTCTGCACCTGTAGTCTGTACCTGTAGTCTGTACCTGTAGTCTGCACCTGTAGTCTGCACCTGTAGTCTGTACCTGTAGTCTGTACCTGTAGTCTGTACCTGTGGTCTGTACCTGTAGTCTGTACCTGTAGTCTGCACCTGTAGTCTGCACCTGTAGTCTGTACCTGTAGTCTGTACCTGTAGTCTGTACCTGTAGTCTGCACCTGTAGTCTGTACCTGTAGTCTGTACCTGTAGTCTGCACCTGTAGTCTGCACCTGTAGTCTGCACCTGTAGTCTGTACCTGTAGTCTGCACCTGTAGTCTGTACCTGTAGTCTGTACCTGTGGTCTGTACCTGTAGTCTGTACCTGTAGTCTGCACCTGTAGTCTGCACCTGTAGTCTGTACCTGTAGTCTGTACCTGTAGTCTGTACCTGTAGTCTGTACCTGTGGTCTGTACCTGTAGTCTGTACCTGTAGTCTGTACCTGTAGTCTGTACCTGTATTCTGTACCTGTAGTCTGTACCTGTAGTCTGTACCTGTAGTCTGCACCTGTAGTCTGTACCTGTAGTCTGTACCTGTAGTCTGCACCTGTAGTCTGTACCTGTAGTCTGTACCTGTAGTCTGCACCTGTAGTCTGTACCTGTAGTCTGCACCTGTAGTCTGTACCTGTAGTCTGTACCTGTGGTCTGTACCTGTAGTCTGTACCTGTAGTCTGTACCTGTAGTCTGTACCTGTAGTCTGTACCTGTAGTCTGTACCTGTAGTCTGTACCTATAGTCTGTACCTGTAGTCTGCACCTGTAGTCTGTACCTGTAGTCTGTACCTGTAGTCTGTACCTGTGGTCTGTACCTGTAGTCTGTACCTGTAGTCTGTACCTGTAGTCTGCACCTGTAGTCTGCACCTGTAGTCTGTACCTGTAGTCTGTACCTGTAGTCTGTACCTGTAGTCTGCACCTGTAGTCTGTACCTGTAGTCTGTACCTGTGGTCTGTACCTGTAGTCTGTACCTGTAGTCTGCACCTGTAGTCTGCACCTGTAGTCTGTACCTGTAGTCTGTACCTGTAGTCTGTACCTGTAGTCTGTACCTGTAGTCTGCACCTGTGGTCTGTACCTGTAGTCTGTACCTGTAGTCTGCACCTGTAGTCTGCACCTGTAGTCTGTACCTGTAGTCTGTACCTGTAGTCTGTACCTGTGGTCTGTACCTGTAGTCTGTACCTGTAGTCTGTACCTGTAGTCTGTACCTGTAGTCTGCACCTGTAGTCTGTACCTGTAGTCTGTACCTGTAGTCTGTACCTGTAGTCTGTACCTGTAGTCTGTACCTGTAGTCTGTACCTGTATTCTGTACCTGTAGTCTGTACCTGTAGTCTGCACCTGTAGTCTGTACCTGTAGTCTGTACCTGTAGTCTGCACCTGTAGTCTGTACCTGTAGTCTGTACCTGTAGTCTGTACCTGTAGTCTGTACCTGTAGTCTGCACCTGTAGTCTGTACCTGTAGTCTGTACCTGTAGTCTGTACCTGTAGTCTGTACCTGTAGTCTGCACCTGTAGTCTGCACCTGTAGTCTGTACCTGTAGTCTGTACCTGTGGTCTGTACCTGTAGTCTGTACCTGTAGTCTGCACCTGTAGTCTGCACCTGTAGTCTGTACCTGTAGTCTGTACCTGTAGTCTGTACCTGTGGTCTGTACCTGTAGTCTGTACCTGTGGTCTGTACCTGTAGTCTGCACCTGTAGTCTGTACCTGTAGTCTGCACCTGTGGTCTGTACCTGTGGTCTGTACCTGTAGTCTGTACCTGTGGTCTGTACCTGTAGTCTGCACCTGTAGTCTGTACCTGTAGTCTGTACCTGTAGTCTGCACCTGTAGTCTGCACCTGTAGTCTGTACCTGTAGTCTGTACCTGTAGTCTGTACCTGTGGTCTGTACCTGTGGTCTGTACCTGTGGTCTGTACCTGTAGTCTGTACCTGTAGTCTGTACCTGTAGTCTGTACCTGTAGTCTGCACCTGTAGTCTGCACCTGTAGTCTGTACCTGTAGTCTGTACCTGTAGTCTGCACCTGTAGTCTGTACCTGTAGTCTGTACCTGTAGTCTGTACCTGTAGTCTGTACCTGTAGTCTGTACCTGTAGTCTGCACCTGTAGTCTGTACACCTGTAGTCTGTACCTGTAGTCTGCACCTGTAGTCTGTACCTGTAGTCTGCACCTGTAGTCTGTACCTGTAGTCTGCACCTGTAGTCTGTACCTGTAGTCTGCACCTGTAGTCTGTACCTGTAGTCTGCACCTGTAGTCTGTACCTGTAGTCTGTACCTGTAGTCTGTACCTGTAGTCTGTACCTGTAGTCTGCACCTGTAGTCTGCACCTGTAGTCTGTACCTGTAGTCTGCACCTGTAGTCTGTACCTGTAGTCTGCACCTGTAGTCTGTACCTGTAGTCTGCACCTGTAGTCTGCACCTGTAGTCTGCACCTGTAGTCTGTACCTGTAGTCTGTACCTGTAGTCTGTACCTGTAGTCTGTACCTGTAGTCTGCACCTGTAGTCTGTACCTGTAGTCTGCACCTGTGGTCTGTACCTGTAGTCTGTACCTGTAGTCTGCACCTGTAGTCTGCACCTGTAGTCTGTACCTGTGGTCTGTACCTGTAGTCTGCACCTGTAGTCTGTACCTGTAGTCTGTACCTGTAGTCTGTACCTGTAGTCTGCACCTGTAGTCTGTACCTGTAGTCTGCACCTGTGGTCTGTACCTGTAGTCTGTACCTGTAGTCTGCACCTGTAGTCTGCACCTGTAGTCTGTACCTGTGGTCTGTACCTGTAGTCTGCACCTGTAGTCTGTACCTGTAGTCTGCACCTGTAGTCTGTACCTGTAGTCTGCACCTGTAGTCTGTACCTGTAGTCTGTACCTGTAGTCTGTACCTGTAGTCTGCACCTGTAGTCTGTACCTGTAGTCTGTACCTGTAGTCTGCACCTGTAGTCTGTACCTGTGGTCTGTACCTGTAGTCTGCACCTGTAGTCTGTACCTGTGGTCTGTACCTGTAGTCTGCACCTGTGGTCTGTACCTGTAGTCTGCACCTGTAGTCTGTACCTGTGGTCTGTACCTGTAGTCTGCACCTGTAGTCTGTACCTGTAGTCTGCACCTGTAGTCTGTACCTGTAGTCTGCACCTGTAGTCTGCACCTGTGGTCTGTACCTGTAGTCTGCACCTGTAGTCTGTACCTGTAGTCTGCACCTGTAGTCTGTACCTGTAGTCTGCACCTGTGGTCTGTACCTGTAGTCTGCACCTGTAGTCTGCACCTGTAGTCTGCACCTGTGGTCTGTACCTGTAGTCTGTACCTGTAGTCTGCACCTGTGGTCTGTACCTGTAGTCTGCACCTGTAGTCTGTACCTGTAGTCTGTACCTGTAGTCTGCACCTGTAGTCTGTACCTGTGGTCTGTACCGCTGGTCTGTATCTGTAGTCTGTACCTGTAGTCTGCACCTGTGGTCTGTACCTGTAGTCTGCACCTGTGGTCTGTACCTGTAGTCTGCACCTGTAGTCTGCACCTGTAGTCTGCACCTGTGGTCTGTACCTGTAGTCTGTACCTGTAGTCTGCACCTGTGGTCTGTACCTGTAGTCTGTACCTGTAGTCTGTACCTGTAGTCTGCACCTGTAGTCTGTACCTGTAGTCTGTACCTGTAGTCTGTACCTGTAGTCTGCACCTGTAGTCTGTACCTGTAGTCTGCACCTGTAGTCTGTACCTGTAGTCTGCACCTGTGGTCTGTACCTGTAGTCTGCACCTGTAGTCTGCACCTGTAGTCTGTACCTGTAGTCTGCACCTGTGGTCTGTACCTGTAGTCTGCACCTGTGGTCTGTACCTGTGGTCTGTACCTGTAGTCTGTACCTGTAGTCTGCACCTGTAGTCTGTACCTGTGGTCTGTACCTGTAGTCTGCACCTGTAGTCTGCACCTGTAGTCTGTACCTGTAGTCTGCACCTGTAGTCTGCACCTGTAGTCTGCACCTGTAGTCTGCACCTGTAGTCTGTACCTGTAGTCTGTACCTGTAGTCTGTACCTGTAGTCTGCACCTGTAGTCTGTACCTGTAGTCTGCACCTGTGGTCTGTACCTGTAGTCTGCACCTGTAGTCTGCACCTGTAGTCTGTACCTGTAGTCTGCACCTGTGGTCTGTACCTGTAGTCTGCACCTGTAGTCTGCACCTGTGGTCTGTACCTGTAGTCTGTACCTGTATTCTGTACCTGTAGTCTGTACCTGTAGTCTGCACCTGTAGTCTGCACCTGTAGTCTGTACCTGTAGTCTGTACCTGTAGTCTGTACCGCTGGTCTGTATCTGTAGTCTGTACCTGTGGTCTGTACCTGTAGTCTGCACCTGTAGTCTGCACCTGTAGTCTGTACCTGTAGTCTGCACCTGTGGTCTGTACCTGTAGTCTGCACCTGTAGTCTGCACCTGTAGTCTGTACCTGTAGTCTGCACCTGTGGTCTGTACCTGTAGTCTGCACCTGTAGTCTGTACCTGTAGTCTGCACCTGTAGTCTGTACCTGTGGTCTGTACCTGTAGTCTGCACCTGTAGTCTGCACCTGTAGTCTGTACCTGTAGTCTGCACCTGTGGTCTGTACCTGTAGTCTGCACCTGTAGTCTGCACCTGTAGTCTGCACCTGTAGTCTGCACCTGTAGTCTGCACCTGTGGTCTGTACCTGTAGTCTGTACCTGTAGTCTGCACCTGTAGTCTGTACCTGTAGTCTGTACCTGTGGTCTGTACCTGTAGTCTGCACCTGTAGTCTGCACCTGTAGTCTGTACCTGTAGTCTGCACCTGTAGTCTGTACCTGTAGTCTGCACCTGTGGTCTGTACCTGTAGTCTGCACCTGTAGTCTGTACCTGTAGTCTGCACCTGTAGTCTGTACCTGTAGTCTGCACCTGTAGTCTGTACCTGTGGTCTGTACCTGTGGTCTGTACCTGTAGTCTGTACCTGTAGTCTGCACCTGTAGTCTGTACCTGTAGTCTGTACCTGTAGTCTGTACCTGTAGTCTGCACCTGTAGTCTGTACCTGTAGTCTGCACCTGTAGTCTGTACCTGTAGTCTGTACCTGTGGTCTGCACCTGTAGTCTGCACCTGTAGTCTGCACCTGTAGTCTGTACCTGTAGTCTGCACCTGTAGTCTGTACCTGTAGTCTGCACCTGTAGTCTGTACCTGTAGTCTGTACCTGTAGTCTGTACCTGTAGTCTGTACCTGTGGTCTGTACCTGTAGTCTGTACCTGTAGTCTGTACCTGTAGTCTGCACCTGTAGTCTGTACCTGTAGTCTGTACCTGTAGTCTGTACCTGTAGTCTGTACCTGTAGTCTGTACCTGTAGTCTGCACCTGTAGTCTGTACCTGTAGTCTGCACCTGTGGTCTGTACCTGTAGTCTGTACCTGTAGTCTGCACCTGTAGTCTGTACCTGTAGTCTGTACCTGTAGTCTGTACCTGTAGTCTGTACCTGTAGTCTGTACCTGTAGTCTGTACCTGTAGTCTGTACCTGTAGTCTGTACCTGTATGAGCAGCTGGCAGGAGGAGCTGAGTCGGGGGCGGCCGTGGTCCGTGGCGGTTGCGGTCAGGTGGTACTCGTGGCGGTCGGCGTGGAGCAGGGGGGCGGAGCTTCTCAGCTCGCCTGTGGACCGGTGCAGAGAGAAACGCTCGGCTCGAAGACCTGAGGGACACAGAGGACCATCAGTGAGGCTTTAGGGACCATGAAAGACCATCAAGGACCATGAAGGACATCTAGGACCATCGAGGACCATGAAGGACCATCGAGGACCATGAAGGACCTTTAAGAACCATGAAGGACCTTTAAGAACCATGAAGGACCTTTATTTTATTTATGTATTTATTTGAATGGGACAGTGCATGTCAATGAACAGACACATAAAAACATAACAGATTATAGCCAGAGGATCATTCCATCTGTGTCCCAGGGTCAGGGTCACACAGGTCAGGGTCAGGGTCACACAGGTCAGGGTCACACAGGTCAGGGTCAGGGTCACGCGGGTCACACAGGTCAGGGTCACACAGGTCAGGGTCAGGGTCACACAGGTCAGGGTCACACAGGTCAGGGTCAGGGTCACACAGGTCAGGGTCACACAGGTCAGGGTCACACAGGTCAGGGTCACACAGGTCAGGGTCACACAGGTCAGGGTCACACAGGTCAGGGTCAGGGTCACACAGGTCAGGGTCAGGGTCACACAGGTCAGGGTCAGGGTCAGGGTCACACAGGTCAGGGTCACACAGGTCAGGGTCACACAGGTCAGGGTCACACAGGTCAGGGTCAGGGTCAGGGTCACACAGGTCAGGGTCAGGGTCACACAGGTCAGGGTCACACAGGTCAGGGTCACACAGGTCAGGGTCACACAGGTCAGGGTCAGGGTCACACAGGTCAGGGTCAGGGTCACACAGGTCAGGGTCAGGGTCACACAGGTCAGGGTCAGGGTCAGGGTCACACAGGTCAGGGTCAGGGTCACACGGGTCAGGGTCACAGAGGTCAGGGTCACACAGGTCAGGGTCAGGGTCACACAGGTCAGGGTCAGGGTCACACAGGTCAGGGTCAGGGTCACACAGGTCAGGGTCACAGGGGTCAGGGTCACACAGGTCAGGGTCAGGGTCACGCGGGTCACACAGGTCAGGGTCACACAGGTCAGGGTCAGGGTCACACAGGTCAGGGTCACACAGGTCAGGGTCACACAGGTCAGGGTCACAGGGGTCAGGGTCACACAGGTCAGGGTCAGGGTCAGGGTCACACAGGTCAGGGTCAGGGTCACACGGGTCAGGGTCACACAGGTCAGGGTCAGGGTCACACAGGTCAGGGTCACACAGGTCAGGGTCACACAGGTCAGGGTCACACAGGTCAGGGTCAGGGTCACACAGGTCAGGGTCAGGGTCACACAGGTCAGGGTCAGGGTCACACAGGTCAGGGTCACACAGGTCAGGGTCAGGGTCACACGGGTCGAATACAGAAACATTTAACAGAAACAAAAGAGGGCAATAACCACAGTGCATCAGAAATGGAGATAAAATCCTTCAGTTGTAGCACAGACAAACAGAACAGTCTTTACCCTGGATTTGAACGTTGACAGAGCAGACGCCTGTCTCACATTTTCAGGGAGATGGTTCCAGATCTTAGCTGCATAGATCTGAAACGCAGCCTCCCCATGTTTGGTTCTCACTCTGGGCACCAGCAGGAGTGCGCCATATGTTTTTGTGTCTAGTGTGTGTAGAGTGTGTGTGTTTGTGTGTGTGTGTAGTGTGTGTAGAGTGTGTGTGTGTGTACTGTGTGTGTATTTGTGTTTGTGTGTGTGTGTAGTGTGTGTAGAGTGTGTGTGTGTTCTGCTTTGAGTTCCTGCTGCAGATGAATTGCCCTTTGGGATCAATAAAGTTTTCTGATTCTGAATCTCTGTGTGGATAGATCTAATGTCCTGCTGATGGGATCTGACCCATACATGTATCTGCAGTCAGTCTGGAGCATGTTGGGATCTGACCCATATCTGCAGTCAGTCTGGAGCATGTTGGGATCTGACCCATATCTGCAGTCAGTCTGGAGCATGTTGGGATCTGACCCATATCTGCAGTCAGTCTGGAGCATGTTGGGATCTGACCCATATCTGCAGTCAGTCTGGAGCATGTTGGGATCTGACCCATATCTGCAGTCAGTCTGGAGCATGTTGGGATCTGACCCATATCTGCAGTCAGTCTGGAGCATGTTGGGATCTGACCCATATCTGCAGTCAGTCTGGAGCATGTTGGGATCTGACCCATATCTGCAGTCAGTCTGGAGCATGTTGGGATCTGACCCATATCTGCAGTCAGTCTGGAGCATGTTGGGATCTGACCCATATCTGCAGTCAGTCTGGAGCATGTTGGGATCTGACCCATATCTGCAGTCAGTCTGGAGCATGTTGGGATCTGACCCATATCTGCAGTCAGTCTGGAGCATGTTGGGATCTGACCCATATCTGCAGTCAGTCTGGAGCATGTTGGGATCTGACCCATATCTGCAGTCAGTCTGGAGCATGTTGGGATCTGACCCATATCTGCAGTCAGTCTGGACCATGTTGGGATCTGACCCATATCTCAGTCATGTTGGTGTGAAACTGCTGAGACTGAAGCAAGGCCACTCTGAGGGAGAGGGCATTGAACCATCACATCCTGAACGAGCTGAGAGACTTACCGGACAGAGAGAAGGAGATGGTTCCGTTCTCTCCCTCGTCGGGGTCTTTGGCCTGGAGCGTGCTCAGTAAGGCTCCTGCGGGGCCCTCAGGGACCTGCCACACAGAGGGAGGAGTCAGGGACCTCAGGGACCTCAGGGCCCTGAGGGACCTCAGGAACCTCAGGGACCTCAGGCACCTCAGGGACCTGATGGACCTGATGGACCTCAGGGCCCTCAGGGAACTCAGGTACCTCAGGGACCTGATGGACCTGATGGACCTCAGGGCCCTCAGGGAACTCAGGGACCTCAGGGACCTGATGACTGTGAACATGTGTTAAACACAGCCTCAGGTCTTTAGAGAGCGACTAAACACCAAATCAACTTTTTTTAACTCATAAACTGCTAAATATGTTGATTGTAGTGCTCTACATGTCCTGGTTTAGTTCAAATTAGATAAAATCTCACTTTTGAGCCTAAAACAGTCTGTGTGGCGCCCTCTCTACCTTTTTGGTGGTACTACATTTGAATTTGGTCCTGGCCTCTCATTGGCTCATACTGTGTGACGTCAGTTTGTGTGTGTGACGTCAGTCAGTGTGTGTGACGTCAGTTTGTGTGTGTGACGTCAGTCAGTGTGTGTGACGTCAGTCGGTGTGTGTGACGTCAGTTGGTGTGTGTGACGTCAGTTGGTGTGTGTGACGTCAGTTGGTGTGTGTGACGTCAGTTGATGTGTGTGACGTCAGTTGGTGTGTGTGACGTCAGTTGGTGTGTGTGACGTCAGTTGATGTGTGTGACGTCAGTTGGTGTGTGTGACGTCAGTTGATGTGTGTGACGTCAGTTGGTGTGTGTGACGTCAGTTTGTGTGTGTGACGTCAGTTGGTGTGTGTGACGTCAGTTGGTGTGTGTGTGATGTCAGTTGGTGTGTGTGACGTCAGTTGGTGTGTGTGACGTCAGTTTGTGTGTGTGACGTCAGTTGGTGTGTGTGACGTCAGTTGGTGTGTGTGACGTCAGTTGGTGTGTGTGACGTCAGTTGGTGTGTGTGACGTCAGTTTGTGTGTGTGACGTCAGTTTGTGTGTGTGACGTCAGTCGGTGTGTGTGTGACGTCAGTTGGTGTGTGTGTGACGTCAGTTGGTGTGTGTGATGTCAGTTTGTGTGTGTGACCTCAGTTGGTGTGTGTGATGTCAGTTGGTGTGTGTGACGTCAGTTGGTGTGTGTGACGTCAGTTGGTGTGTGTGACGTCAGTCGGTGTGTGACGTCAGTTGGTGTGTCTGACGTCAGTTTGTGTGTGTGACGTCAGTTGGTGTGTGACGTCAGTTTGTGTGTGTGACGTCAGTTGGTGTGTGTGACGTCAGTTGGTGTGTGTGACGTCAGTCGGTGTGTGTGACGTCAGTTGATGTGTGTGTGACGTCAGTTTGAGTGTGTGTGATGTCAGTTTGTGTGTGTGACCTCAGTTGGTGTGTGTGACCTCAGTTGGTGTGTGTGACGTCAGTTGGTGTGTGACGTCAGTTGGTGTGTGTGACGTCAGTCGGTGTGTGTGACGTCAGTTGGTGTGTGTGACGTCAGTTGGTGTGTGTTATGTCAGTTGGTGTGTGTGACGTCAGTTGATGTGTGTGTGACGTCAGTTGGTGTGTGTGACGTCAGTTGGTGTGTGTGATGTCAGTTGGTGTGTGTGACGTCAGTTGGTGTGTGTGACGTCAGTTGGTGTGTGTGACCTCAGTTGGTGTGTGTGACCTCAGTTGGTGTGTGTGACCTCAGTTGGTGTGTGTGACCTCAGTTGGTGTGTGTGACGTCAGTTGGTGTGTGTGACGTCAGTTGGTGTGTGTGACGTCAGTTGGTGTGTGTGACGTCAGTTGGTGTGTGTGTGATGTCAGTTGGTGTGTGTGATGTCAGTTGGTGTGTGTGATGTCAGTTTGTGTGTGTGACGTCAGTTGGTGTGTGTGTGATGTCAGTTGGTGTGTGTGACGTCAGTTGGTGTGTGTGACGTCAGTTGGTGTGTGTGACGTCAGTTGGTGTGTGTGACGTCAGTTGGTGTGTGTGACGTCAGTTGGTGTGTGACGTCAGTTGGTGTGTGACGTCAGTTGGTGTGTGTGATGTCAGTTGGTGTGTGTGATGTCAGTTGGTGTGTGTGACGTCAGTTGGTGTGTGTGACGTCAGTTGGTGTGTGACGTCAGTTGGTGTGTGTGTGATGTCAGTTGGTGTGTGTGACGTCAGTTGGTGTGTGTGTGATGTCAGTTGGTGTGTGTGACGTCAGTTGGTGTGTGTGATGTCAGTTGGTGTGTGTGACGTCAGTTGGTGTGTGTGACGTCAGTTGGTGTGTGTGATGTCAGTTGGTGAGTGTGACGTCAGTTGGTGTGTGTGACGTCAGTCGGTGTGTGTGACGTCAATTGGTGTGTGTGACGTCAGTTGGTGTGTGTGTGACGTCAATTGCTGTGTGTGTCACGTCAGTTGGTGTGTGTGACGTCAGTTGGTGTGTGTGTCACGTCAGTTGGTGTGTGTCACGTCAGTTGGTGTGTGTGTGTCACGTCAGTTGGTGTGTGTGACGTCAATTGCTGTGTGTGTCACGTCAGTTGGTGTGTGTGATGTCAGTTGGTGTGTGTGACGTCAGTTTGTGTGTGTGATGTCAGTTTGTGTGTGTGATGTCAGTTGGTGTGTGTGATGTCAGTTTGTGTGTGTGATGTCAGTTGGTGTGTGTGATGTCAGTTTGTGTGTGTGATGTCAGTTGGTGTGTGTGACGTCAGTTGGTGTGTGTGATGTCAGTTTGTGTGTGTGATGTCAGTTGGTGTGTGTGATGTCAGTTTGTGTGTGTGATGTCAGTCGGTGTGTGTGACGTCAGTTGGTGTGTGTGACGTCAGTTTGTGTGTGTGACGTCAGTTGGTGTGTGTGATGTCAGTTGGTGTGTGTGACGTCAGTCGGTGTGTGTGACGTCAGTTGGTGTGTGTGACGTCAGTTTGTGTGTGTGACGTCAGTTGGTGTGTGTGACGTCAGTTTGTGTGTGTGATGTCAGTCGGTGTGTATGACGTCAGTCGGTGTGTGTGACGTCAGTTGGTGTGTGTGACGTCAGTTTGTGTGTGTGACGTCAGTTGGTGTGTGTGATGTCAGTTGGTGTGTGTGACGTCAGTCGGTGTGTGTGACGTCAGTTGGTGTGTGTGACGTCAGTTTGTGTGTGTGACGTCAGTTTGTGTGTGTGATGTCAGTCGGTGTGTATGACGTCAGTCGGTGTGTGTGTGACGTCAGTTGGTGTGTGTGACGTCAGTTGGTGTGTGTGACGTCAGTTGGTGTGTGTGTGACGTCAGTTGGTGTGTGTGACATCAGTTTGTGTGTGTGATGTCAGTTGGTGTGTGTGATGTCAGTCGGTGTGTGTGACGTCAGTTGGTGTGTGTGATGTCAGTTGGTGTGTGTGATGTCAGTCGATGTGTGTGACGTCAGTTTGTGTGTGTGATGTCAGTTGGTGTGTGTGACGTCAGTTGGTGTGTGTGACGTCAGTTTGTGTGTGTGATGTCAGTTGGTGTGTGTGACGTCAGTTGGTGTGTGTGACGTCAGTTGGTGTGTGTGATGTCAGTCGGTGTGTGTGACGTCAGTTTGTGTGTGTGATGTCAGTTGGTGTGTGACGTCAGTTGGTGTGTGTGACGTCAGTTGGTGTGTGTGACGTCAGTTTGTGTGTGTGATGTCAGTTGGTGTGTGTGACGTCAGTAGGTGTGTGTGACGTCTGTCGGTGTGTGTGATGTCAGTTGGTGTGTGTGATGTCAGTTGGTGTGTGTGACGTCAGTTGGTGTGTGTGACGTCAGTTGGTGTGTGTGATGTCAGTCGGTGTGTGTGACGTCAGTTTGTGTGTGTGATGTCAGTTGGTGTGTGTGATGTCAGTTGGTGTGTGTGACGTCAGTTGGTGTGTGTGATGTCAGTTGGTGTGTGTGATGTCAGTTTGTGTGTGTGATGTCAGTTGGTGTGTGTGACGTCAGTTGGTGTGTGTGACGTCAGTTGGTGTGTGTGACGTCAGTTTGTGTGTGTGATGTCAGTTGGTGTGTGTGACGTCAGTTGGTGTGTGTGACGTCAGTTTGTGTGTGTGATGTCAGTTGGTGTGTGTGACGTCAGTTTGTGTGTGTGATGTCAGTTGGTGTGTGTGACGTCAGTTGGTGTGTGTGACGTCAGTTGGTGTGTGTGATGTCAGTTGGTGTGTGTGACGTCAGTTTGTGTGTGTGATGTCAGTTGGTGTGTGTGACGTCAGTAGGTGTGTGTGACGTCTGTCGGTGTGTGTGATGTCAGTCGGTGTGTGTGATGTCAGTTGGTGTGTGTGTCGTCAGTTGGTGTGTGTGACGTCAGTTTGTGTGTGTGATGTCAGTTGGTGTGTGTGACGTCAGTTTGTGTGTGTGATGTCAGTTGGTGTGTGTGACGTCAGTTGGTGTGTGTGACGTCAGTTGGTGTGTGTGACGTCAGTTTGTGTGTGTGATGTCAGTTGGTGTGTGTGACGTCAGTTGGTGTGTGTGACGTCAGTTTGTGTGTGTGATGTCAGTTGGTGTGTGTGACGTCAGTTTGTGTGTGTGATGTCAGTTGGTGTGTGTGACGTCAGTTGGTGTGTGTGACGTCAGTTGGTGTGTGTGATGTCAGTTGGTGTGTGTGACGTCAGTTTGTGTGTGTGATGTCAGTTGGTGTGTGTGACGTCAGTAGGTGTGTGTGACGTCTGTCGGTGTGTGTGATGTCAGTCGGTGTGTGTGATGTCAGTTGGTGTGTGTGTCGTCAGTTGGTGTGTGTGACGTCAGTTTGTGTGTGTGATGTCAGTTGGTGTGTGTGACGTCAGTTGGTGTGTGTGACGTCAGTTGGTGTGTGTGATGTCAGTTGGTGTGTGTGATGTCAGTTGGTGTGTGTGACGTCAGTTGGTGTGTGTGACGTCAGTTTGTGTGTGTGATGTCAGTCGGTGTGTGTGACGTCAGTTGGTGTGTGTGACGTCAGTTTGTGTGTGTGATGTCAGTTTGTGTGTGTGACGTCAGTCGGTGTGTGTGTGTGATGTCAGTTGGTGTGTGTGTGTCGTCAGTTGGTGTGTGTGACGTCAGTTTGTGTGTGTGATGTCAGTTGGTGTGTGTGACGTCAGTTGGTGTGTGTGATGTCAGTTGGTGTGTGTGATGTCAGTTGGTGTGTGTGACGTCAGTTGGTGTGTGTGACGTCAGTTTGTGTGTGTGATGTCAGTCGGTGTGTGTGATGTCAGTTGGTGTGTGTGATGTCAGTTGGTGTGTGTGTCGTCAGTTGGTGTGTGTGACGTCAGTTGGTGTGTGTGATGTCAGTTTGTGTGTGTGATGTCAGTTGGTGTGTGTGACGTCAGTTGGTGTGTGTGATGTCAGTTGGTGTGTGTGATGTCAGTTTGTGTGTGTGATGTCAGTTTGTGTGTGTGATGTCAGTTGGTGTGTGTGATGTCAGTTGGTGTGTGTGACGTCAGTTGGTGTGTGTGATGTCAGTTGGTGTGTGTGACGTCAGTTGATGTGTGTGACGTCAGTTTGTGTGTGTGATGTCAGTTGGTGTGTGTGATGTCAGTTGGTGTGTGTGATGTCAGTTGGTGTGTGTGATGTCAGTTGGTGTGTGTGATGTCAGTTGGTGTGTGTGATGTCAGTTGGTGTGTGTGACGTCAGTTGGTGTGTGTGATGTCAGTTGGTGTGTGTGATGTCAGTTGGTGTGTGTGACGTCAGTTGGTGTGTGTGACGTCAGTTGGTGTGTGTGATGTCAGTTTGTGTGTGTGATGTCAGTCGGTGTGTGTGATGTCAGTTGGTGTGTGTGATGTCAGTTGGTGTGTGTGATGTCAGTCGGTGTGTGTGATGTCAGTTGGTGTGTGTGACGTGCTTCTGTCTGAGTCAGTGATATAAAACTATCCAACTCACACACACACAGCAGCAGGTTGGAGTATTCTAGCGACATCTAGTGGATTAAAATTAAAGTGAATTATGAGTTGAAGCCTCTGCTGCTGAGATAATTGTGTGTCTGAGGTTCAGTTGTGTAGCTCTACAATTATCTCAGTGTGTAAACAGAGTAATGAGACTTTCTGGTGTAAACTATTGCTTTAAGCAGCAATGACAACTGTGTGTTATTTTTTGTGTGACAAGTGAGCTGTCAATCACAGCCCAGACCACGCCCAACTCTCAGCCCCCCTTCTTGTCCCTTGGTCCTTGGGCAACACACATTTTAGAGAACATTTTCAAATGTTCATGTGGGCGGAGTCAGGCTGGGCACAGGTGTTTAGTCGCTCTTTAAAGAGCTGTGTCAACCAGCTCATGAATATTCATGAGGCAGATCAGGACGAGCCATCTCTGACCATGAGGCAGATCAGGACGAGCCATGTCTGACCATGAAGCAGATCAGGACGAGCCATGTCTGACCATGAAGCAGATCAGGACGAGCCATGTCTGACCATGAAGCAGATCAGGACGAGCCATCTCTGACCATGAGGCAGATCAGGACGAGCCATGTCTGACCATGAAGCAGATCAGGACGAGCCATGTCTGACCATGAAGCAGATCAGGACGAGCCATGTCTGACCATGAGGCAGATCAGGACGAGCCATGTCTGACCATGAAGCAGATCAGGACGAGTCATCTCTGACCATGAGGCAGATCAGGACGAGTCATTGATGTAAGGGTCAGGATTATAAAAACATGGTTAAAGATGAAGACACCTGTATGACGAGGCTGTTCTCTGATTGGTTGTGGGTGAAGGAGGGGACGTGGTTGTTCTGGTCCATCACGGTGATGAAGGAGGGGGCATGGTCGTTCTGGTCCGTCACGGTGATGAAGGCGGTTGCCGTGGCGCTGAGGGATGGGGAGCCTCCGTCCTGGACCAGCAGCAGCAGCTGGTAACTGGACTGTTGTTCCCGGTCCAGGCTCCACCTGGTGCTCAGCTCTCCTGTGGACACCAGGACCAGGTGAGTACACCAGGACCAGGTGAGAAGACACCAGGACCAGGTGAGAGTACACCAGGACCAGGTGAGAGGACACCAGGTGAGAATACACCTCACAGACACACACAGACACACACACACACACACACACACACACACACACAGTAAACCTCCATGGACCAATCAGAGCGCTCCAAGATTCTGCCTTTGACTAAAGTCTGACGCTGTAGATTTAAGATCAAAGGAAAGTCTTATGAACTGATGAATCCACTTTGGACTGAGAAAGATGTTAAACTGTCTGGGTCTGGGTCTGGTTCTGGGTCTGGGTCTGGGCCTGGGTCCGGGTCCGGGTCCGGTTCCGGTTCC